GTCCGTACATATCCCCCTTTAAATCATCTTACTGATGGTTTTCCACCATTACAGGCTCCCTTGCAGACAGACTGCACACGTGCCAACACCAGGACAAAGCAACCACTAAACAGTGCAGATATTCTAGCATCTATTTTCCTATAAGAGGAAAAACCACATAGAGGGCCAGGAAACCTGCATTGTTTCAAGACTCTCCAGGGCCAGCAGATGTCCCGAGAGCTGCAGAGAAAGGCGTTTGTGGGAAAGGTCAGTGCCTGCGTTACGCACCGCACACCACGTCCACCTCTCTGGCAGAGGGGAGATGGATCATGGGCACAGGACAGCAAAGCAGCACTGGGAAACTGGATATACCTATGATGGCACATTAATGCAACCGAGTGCCTGCATTTGGTAGGAAACTGATCCCATCTCTTCCTGCTTCATAGGACTTCTGCAAGTGGTTTCTGTGGTGTCAAAGCAGGAGCAATACAACAAGTTTCTGCCTTCACCACCGTTACCTTGTGCTCAGGTTTGCCACTTGCACAGTTTTTACACTGCTGCTCCTCACAAAATGCTTGGAATACAAGGATGGTACCAACTTTGGCAATTAGAAAAAGCTGCTATGCACAGGAAACCATTGCTTTCCACATCCCGCTCTCTCTTCCCTCAAAATTCCAAGCTAGACAATCTGAGGAAAATTGTCATCCTTATCTGCATGTAAAAAGTTCATTTCCCTTGCACACCCGTGACCCCCCCATCTGCTTTCATGCTCTGCAGCCCACAGTCTGTCACCATCAATATACAGAGCCCAAAATTCAGTAGCAAACTGGGGTCCTATCTTGATTCATCCTTTGGTATCTCTTGCCTGGCTTCGATTTCAGCGGCAAGTTCCAATGGATTTGTGATCTCACTGTGACACTCTGGGAAAGACCCTGAGATAGTTCAGATTTGACTTAAAGCTGGAGATGCACTTCATGGGAAGGACAGAATCTGTGGGAAGAACTCAGGTCCTTTTCATCCATGGATGCATAAACTGTGGCCAAAGTTTGGCATGGAAGAGAAATCTTCCTCCTCCAGATTGGCCTACATTTTTATTCGATTAAATAACCTTATTCTACTGTTAGCTTTGCCGACCTTCAGATTCTCAAAGTCAGGATATTTCTTCACCTCAGGGAGCATCAGAAGACTTAATAAAAGCCTTGACAATACTGAGCATCTAATAGTATTTATGCACATGCTGAGAAGGGTCCACCTTCATGTTCAAAGCTGCTTCTGGTGGTTGCTACCATTGTGACCTCCCCAGTTGCCTGCCTGGCATAGAAAAATCATGATTTGGCTCTTCTGATGTGTGCTTCTGGGTGGTCAGCCTTAAACAAACTATTGCGTGAAATCTGGAAGGACTTCAAGGAAGAGCAATGTGCCTCCAGGACACCTATAGCACAAGCAGTATGGAGCCATATTGCATCATCCCCAGCATCATTGCTGCTTTATGACCACACACTTAACTATCTACTCCCAGGTAATATTCCTACTCCCGACCAACCACTATCACATTTTAAAATTCATTCTGCTTATGTACTCCATATCTCTGTTTGTCTATTGTAATGCAAAATACCAGAATGAGCTGGTGTGGAGTGGATAAAACCAAACCCATCTAAGTCATCAAGGCTTGTGAACAGATGAGAAAGCAGCCTTACAGTACAAGAAGACCTCCTTGGGCTTGTGTTTTACCATTGGTGAGGGGAACAGCCGTGGGATGAAAATGGAAGACCCAGAAGGAAGAAAATCCCTGCAGTGGACTGAAAAGGCAAAATATAGAGGATCTCTGGACAGATGTGTGCTGAGAACAAGAAAATGTCCCTCCACACCTAAAAAGCACTTCTGAGCCCCTGCTTCATCCTAGGCAGCCCAGCCTCATGGGTTTACATGAAGAGGGACAAGTGTCCCTCACACTCAGAAGCTGGTGGCAGAGCCACTCAAGCCTGCACTACCACCATCCCCTTCCCCAACCTAGGTATGATGGGACCACCAAGGGCTTGTGCCATCTCTGCTGCTTCCAGAGCACTGCAGAGGAGTGAGCATATGGAAGGCCACAGTGTCCTCTAGAGGTAGAAAAATACCTTATAGTTTGGTGACAAGGAGCACAGGAGGGCATTGGGAAGCAGGATTGTTCCACCAGGCCAGGAGGACTGCTCCAGGCTGCCAAGGGCAAGGGGAGAGGACCACTGCTAGGCATAGGCACAAGAGGGAAAATGCACTCACACCATCTGGCTCGTTCACAGGGGACACTGCCCCCAGCACAATGGAAATAGTCAAAATTCACTTACTCGGATCCAAACCACGTAAATGAAACAGCTCCTCAAGGCTCCCAGATGTCAACCCCCAAATTTGGCAGCTTTACTGCCCATCACACCTCTTCTACTCCTGGAGAGGGTTTATAGCCATTGAGGTTGCCAAGCATAATCAACCTGATGCTGGGTGGGCACAGTGGGAGGGAGCCCTGCATGGTGGGGTGGCCACTTGATCTGGGCTCTTCAGGTCAGGTAAGACAATCTTTATGAGGATAAGGAGGAAAAAACATATGCTATTGCTCTATGGACTAGTGGTTTGGGCCAGGACCTGTTTCTGGTGCTCCTAAACATGAGGAGCTCACAAGTTTGAGTAGTCCTGTGAGGCTTTGTACAACTGTGGAAAATGAGGCTCTTAAGTGCTCTAACACTTGCTTTCAGCTGGTATCCTCAGGAAACCAGGAAAGCCTCCTACGTACCTTTCAAAAATAGCTAAGAATATATATATATATTGATGGGAAAGAGGAAAACATTTAATACCCATGAAATGGGCTTGATATACTCTTGCCAGAAGCAGTATTCCTTGAAAGACAGATGCTCATGCAGAACATTGTGTCTGTACCATTGCTGGGCTGTAGCTGCTGGTAAACATCAGTCACCTCAGGCAATGCAGTCACACAAAATCACTGCACAAAGAAGAGCACACTGAGGGAAAGCAGAAACCAAGCACCTGGAGCAACACAGAGGTAAGGGGCTGCAAGGCCTGCTGGAGTCCTGACTAGTTCTGTGCTGCCCTCAGTGCTGGAGCCAGAAGTCAGCCTAAACTCAAAACACTTCCTTGCAAGCAGAAGCTGTTACAACCAAGGGTGAATGCCTGATGTCTGACAAATCAAGAATCGAATGAAATACCCCCCCCGTAAACACAGTCAGACCCTTGCCCTGAAGCTCTTGCCTTGCTTTGCCTTCCTTATCCTCTCTTATCTGTAGACTGCTGCTGCTATTGCCTCAAAAATAGATATCGCAGAGCATTCTAGCATCCACTTGCCCTAGGAGTCCCAGCAAAGCCTCACTTGATCAGCCAGGTCTTGTAGGTCCATCTTTCAAGCACCAAACTCTATTATTGTGAATATTACTAAACAAAAGAGCTTTCAGCAGCTTCCTTTAGTCCAAGAGCGAGGACAGCTGTTCCTCCCACAGCCCTTTTGGCTTGGCCCTAGACCAGTCCAGAAGTAGCTGCAACACAAAGAAGCTGGAGAAGTCAACCACGGTATAAAAAATTATTTATAAACTGGTAATGGCTGCAGAGCCATGGGTACTAACCAGCTCTGCTTTGTGGAAGGAATGCTTGAAGTGCCAATATCCTGCTTGCTCACCAACCAGTGACTGAGAAACCAGATGTCCACAAGTGGACTGAAAACCTCTGGGAGATTTATAAAGGAATACTTAATCTCTGCATCCCACTCTTGCAGCCCTAGTTGCTAAACCAGCCTGAAAAGTACAATATTTCCCCAATTCTAGCCTAGGAGAGAGAGGAGAATGACAAGAACTGTTTTTTCAGTGTGTTTTTAACCACCACTGACCAGTGGCTAAGCTTGACCACTTGTGGCACTGGCTGAACTGATAGTAGGTGTCCCATGGCAGAAGCTTATTTCTCCCATTGCATCCCAGCTCCAGCAGAGGCAAGGTAACAGCTCTCCCTACTCAGGGTGTATGATCAAGGTAACCTATAGGATCAGCTGTTGGCTCAACACCCTGGGCCCTACATATTGCCTACGTTTTTAAGTAGCAAAATGTACCAAGAAGTAAAAGAACCCCTTTGTGTAAAACCACAGGCAGGGTTTCTAAGCATAAAAAACCAAACCAAAACACAAACCAACATCCCTCAGTACTAAGTTCACCCGAAGACACCAATCTTCAGCTCCTGCTGGACTGATCAAGCCAACGGATCTGTCTTCTTTGGTAGAAAGTCAGAAAAGTCTCCAAGCCAGAAGAGCGAATGCCTTGCTTGTGTAGGGAGAGCCCCATTCCTTGTGGGAATAAACGGTCAGACGCTGCACTGCTGCAGAGTGCCCAGCAGGTGGTAATATTTGTTAAAAGTTTAAGCAATACGGTCCCTGAACTGCAGCGAATTGCACCTGAGCGTAACCCAACAATCCCGCTACCCGAAAGTAACATTATTGAAAGGAAAAAATTAAGTATAGGGGAATAATTGCATCGACTTGGTCAGACTTCTCCTTTCAGAATAATCCGTCCTGCACAAGCAGTAAGCACTGCCCACTGAAGCAAAACTGATTTCCATCTTGTTGTCTATACATACTGAAGTCTGCAAAAGATTACAAACTAGGAGACGTGTAGATGGTTTTGTACCTGTCCCCAGCATTCCCCATTCCCAGGGACAGGTGGTACAAGTTCATGGCTTCTTTTTCTTGGCCTCCACTTGACTTTAGATTTCTTCTATTTGTGTTTTTTATTGTACGCGCAAGTTATTATCTGATAACTCAAGCACTTGGGAGCTGGCAAAAGAAAACCACTTAAACTATCTTCCCTGAAAAGCTGCTGTATTACACAGCAAGCAAGGCCTTTATGAATACACATGGGAATGTGTGTTTCTGAACCCCACATTGCTCACAAGTCCGTATTGTGCGGCAGCATCATCACCCTGTTTGGTCAGTCTTTGGCCTACACAAGTCACCACCTGAAATACCAAACAACAGGACCAAACATGAGTGCTTACCTCTTCTCAGATAGTGTACAAAGTCCTCCAGCTGCTGAGGAGAGAAAGAGATCACTTTCTGTCCAGGATAGGACTTCCCTGCAAGTTGTAAAGAAGTGGTGGTCACATTCCTGTCCCTCCTCAGAAAAACATTAACATGCTGCACAGAACAACTCAAGGAGCAGGTTATGGTCCAGTGAGAAAAGCCAACAGGCAAGTATTAGTGTTCGAGAAACCCTAGACCAGCCATGCTTGGCACATTTGGTGTTAATTTTTAACTCTTCGACCTGTCTTAGCAATAACCTGGGGATTTTAATTACTTTGTTTTAAGCACTTCATCAGTGCAGCCAGAGTGGTTTCTTTGGAGGTTTTCTGCCTCGTTCTTAGAAATCTGGTATCCTTGAAAAAATATCCAAGAGAACACTTGGATTTCTATGGCCATATGACTTGGATTTCAAGGCCAGGTTGGATGATTCAAGGCCAGGTTGGACGAAGCCTTAGGTGGCCTACTAAACTTAGGTTTAGTGTGAGGTGTCCCTGCCCATGGCAGGGGGGTTGGAAGTAGATGATCTTAAGGTCCTTTCCAACCCTAACTGTTCTATGATTTCTATTGTTTCAGACTTTCTTCTATTTGTCTACATCTCTTAACTGGTGACTCTGAGTACAAGCACATTAAAGTGCTATCTCAACTGTTTTGCTCAGTTTATTTCAATTTTTACATTCCTTTACTCTCTTTCTTGGAGAGCTTGAAAATAACACAGTGGTTTTTAATTTTGGTCAAAACCACAGAGTGATTAACAACTGTAAGACCAGATTTCAAGACTGGAGAGGAGCATTGCTATAAGCTGTTGTAACCTGCTCTGATCCCCTGCATAATACAAGCTGAATAGTGTCCATACTTGGCTTGCCTCAAACTCTAATGGAGATTTGTTTATTGTTAGCCAGCTGGAGACGACCATAAGTGTAGTCTGTATGTGTAGATGACACATTTATCATTAACACCCTGGTTTAGCGTGACTATTTCCTCTCTGCCATCCCCCAGTAACTTTCCAGTATAGAGATCAAGTTAACACATTTTTGGTGTTAAGTGACTTAATAATTTGCCTTTATAGTACCAGAGGAAAAGGGAAGATATTCTAATCAGAGTCTGTAAAATAAGGCAGACTGCCTTGTCTGAAAGATTACACTGTACTGCAACCCAAAGCCCAACTGCTTCACTGAAAGCTCAACCTGATAAAAGAAGACTCCTGCTACAAACTCTACAATCAGTAACAGCTCCTCTAACGAAAAACAGAAGAGAACATCTCTTTGAACCTCAGTAGTCCAACTATCCTCCAGCAGTGAAACAGAAACAGCACCAACCAACTTGCCATCCTCATATAACATATCTTCTCCCAGGTGTTTTATTTAGGACCCTCTTACCTCTATCTTGTGATCCATATAGTAAGATCCAGCTGGCTTCCTTCTCTAAACAGCTATGCTTCTCTACCTGGGGCTATTCCCTGGATTTATGGTATGTGTCTTCCTTCCTCCACATGAGAAGCTTGTTCCTGTTGCATCTTTCTGATAGCATTGCAGGTGTTGGGCAACTTTGTTAGGAGCAAAATGATCTCCTAACCCCTCTCCCACTAAAGCTCTATGGAAAAAGGCAGCTTCTCTGCAGTGCTCTGTGTATGTAACTGTTAAGCTGTGTGACTTGTGTAAAAGGTGTTAGGTAGTCTCCATCTCTTTCGGTGTTAGCTCTGTACATATGCTGCATGTCCTCACAAACACACCTGCAAAAGGAACCTACTGTACAGCTGGAGGAATGACCTGCCTACATTCAGTACTTGCAGCCTTTTCTCCTCCAGGAGACCAAGACTTTTATATTTCTCTTTTACTCCCTTTCAAGAGTAATTTTCTATATGATGGGATGGGCAACAAAGCCTGAAAGCAGTATCCCACCCGAAAAGGAGGGCATCAACACTAAAGACAAGGAAATGTTCAAAACAGTTTTCTCCAATAGAAGTAGTTCTACCTTAAATACTCATATATCTGCCAGGTCAGAAAGACATGCCAAGCATAACCATGTACCCATGACATGTGGGGCTAGGGAAGTCCTGGCATAGACCACTTGGGGTGAAGGTTGGTCGAAAGTCTCTGAGATGGCTGCCACCTTGGACACCAGTATTCCTATTCCCTCTCTAACTTGACTCCACAAGCATGAAGACACAGGAGATGAACTAAGATCCCTCTCACACTGATAATTTGCCTTTCAAATGACTCTGTAAGATCATCTTGGGGCTCTGAACTAGCCATCCACTCCTCCTCTGAGACCTCTCAACACTTCACACACTTCCACAGAAACCATGACTCAAACAGATGGGTTTAGGTGGGCAGGGACAACCCTGGCTCCCCAAATGTGGGGATTATGACCCTTCAGAAAGGAGCCTTCAGCCTCCTGAAGAGATCAGGAATCCCAGCTTTCAGTAGGTGATCCGGCAGCAGTGGGACTCTGTCCCAAGGATGAATATCCTCCAAGGGAACAGATGTGGCACAGGAGCCTTTGGAAAAGACCCAGGAATCCTGCTTGCTCGTGGGGGAGGGGGAAAAATCCTGCTTACAACGAGATGTTCATCTTTTGCAGAGGAAGGTGATGACAGCTGGGATGAGGGAAGGGGAAAAAAATTCAGGGCAGCACCCTGTGTGGGAAAAGATCTCTCCCCTGCCTGCCCCAGCTAGCTTGCACTTGGAGCCAGCCAAATGGGGCACTGGCTTCAGCCAGCCCGCAGCATGGCAAGGGCTCACCCCATGAACCAATATCTCTTGGCAATTTCCATCTATTCGTATTCTGTGCTGGCTCTAGGGATAAAAAACAGCTTTTTCCTGGAAGGGGTGGACACAGGATGCAAAAAAGAAGTGGGAAAGGGAATACCTACATCTGCCTGATACCACTGCCTCTGGGCTACAGCTGAGCATCTTCAAGAGCACATGAGTAGGATGCTACTGCACCTCCCTGGTTCAACATAGCAACCTCTACAGAGCAAGTATCCCACCTGCTTTTAATGGCTTCCTTGTCTCCAGTGTTAATGCTTTCCCCTTCTGGTGCTTTCAACCTTTCTTGCCCATCCCATCTCATTTCAGAGAAGAAAAGTGAAATGTAGCAGAGGGAGATACTAATAAACCAACATGTCATTGCTGTTTATTAAGTTTTACCCATTTGGCAGTAAATCTGTGCTGTGCCTGTTCTTTTAATTAGTTGTCTCTCAGTCAGGAAAATCAGGGCTGCAAAGTGCTGATATGGTGCTAAATAATTACCTGGGAACAAGTGCTTGGGTTTGGACCAGGAACTTTCACACTGCTATTAGCCGATCCCTGCAAGGCACTGGGAAGAAGCAGGGCTGGGCAGGGGTGGGAGCCACAGCAGTGAGAACCCACGCTAAGGGATGTGGGGAAAGGCTGCCACTAGCATGCAGCTGTGGTGGCTTAACCCTCCCTTCCCAACGCTGTAAGGCTTGTGGGGAGTGGGGAAACTAAGGCAAGAAGGGACAAATTTGGTCCACAGAACATAGGGGTGTCCTAGAGTAAGTGAATGACTATCAGGTTGTTTTCCTTCCCTGTCCTTCTAGGCCACTAAGAGAAGGAAGGCCTTGCCCAAACATGATGTGAGAGCCCACTTGCATCCATCTGTCCCTATATAGATGCAAAGAGCAAACCATACCTCTTCCTTCAGTGTAAGGAGAGAGGAGAAGAAAGACTACACCATACAGACTTACTTCAGAGGCAGATGTCAGGCAACATGACTCTGTCTTATTTTTTGCAATGAATATGTAACACCACTTGACATTTGCTTTTCAGCTAGGTGGGTGGCTTTTTACCTTTATGTGCACAATACACACCAAAGGTTCTGGCCACACACAGGGAGACACTGAACTTGAGGTAGAACCTTGGAGCAAAGTGCATGGCAGCAGGAGCAGCCCAATAAGTAGACTTTTCACTGAGAGCTGTGAGAAGGGAGCAAGCTGCGTACCAAAAGGTTAGGTGTTTCATCATGTGAGAAAACAGCCCACAACCAAGCCAGGAGTAAATCTCTTGTTGCTGGGTGGCTTAATGCCTCCTTACAATTGAATCATATATTCACAGCTTTCTGGAAATTGGAACAACTTGAGCTGCTGTGGGTTAACCCATTCGTATACCCATGGCCTCAGTCTAATGCAAATACCTACTTTTATTGCCGGAGCCGTTACGGGGCACTAATGTGAAACACTTCTCAGGAGAGAGCCAGCCCAGTTTCTCGGCCCCCAAAGCACAGAGCAATTTAACTGCGCACAGGAGACTTCAAGTGCATACCTGTCCCTTTACATCCTGGGATGTTAACCAGGCTCAGCATCGACTGAACTTTTGTTTTGCACCTTCAGAGGACTTGTCCTCCAAGCGCTTTTCAGCCAGACACAAAGGATTCCCTGCAGAAGTGCAGTGAGCAGGAAAATACTGTCCCAAACTCAGACAGACACCCTGAAATACGCAGGGGCTGTACCTGTGGGTCTGGTGAGTGGCTGGCCACAGCCTGGCTCTGTCTTCTATATTTCCCTGGTTTCTTTGGGAGGGAGCTGAGATGCACAGGCAGGGAAGGAGGTGTGAGATGCTGCTGGAGATCTCCTATTGCCGCCTGCTGAAGGGCACAATCACGGGATACTCTATGGAGCTCACAGACGGGTTCAGCTAAGCTGTTCGTGCTATGACCAGCACAAAGATGTCATCGGACATATCTGCCCCACAGCAATGACATAGGCAGAGGAACCAGCTCTGAGCTGTCACTGTCCAACATCACCAGATGTCTTGACACATCCAGTCTGAGTAAATTGAATGAGGTGATCTGATGCGCAGCTCTCTTGCAGATACACCTCCATCACCGTACTCTACCTATCTGCTGCTGTGTCACCTAGTCATGAGATTTATTTCTGGGTGAGACTAATTGCCCCTTTAGTTTATTACTACTTAAAAATTTGTCCTTGCATGTTTGTACGCTGCAAATAAACTCTTTTAATTGAAGCTTCATGATCTTCCAGGCTCACACTGTTGACACACAGCTTCATTCATCGTGTGTGCCAGGCAGTGAGTTGACATGTTTTGAAACAGGCAACTAAAGACTGCACAAGCAAACCCCCAGCCAGGAAAGGAGGTGACCTACTCAGCCTGAAAATCATTGTTTTCTATTTTCATGCATGCATTTGAATCCATGCATTCAATGCATGGATTTTTTTCAGACCTATGCAGCAACACACTGGGTGGGCTGGTAATCAGAACCAAATCCCACTTCTTCAAATAAAAGATGTAGAGGGAAAGACCATCTCACCTTTACATCAAACACCTTGACTTTCTGGTTACATTTTGCACCAGGATTCAAGTCAAAAAGGCATCTCCCAGCATCCAGAATAAAGATTAAATTTAAAACCCACAAGAACTGGCAAATTAACCCCAGCAGAGCCTGCAGATGTGTACTTAGCCTGTGTAAATGTTAATTCTGCTGTTTGACTGATACCCATGGGATGGTCATTCCTCACATCTCATTTATGATTTCACACAGGATGGTGCCCTCAATTAATACTGCAGTTTTCTTAGCAGGAGGTGACAGTTGATTCACAGTACTTACTATCTGATAAATGCAGCCAGCATGAGGATTCACATACTAGTGTTTAACAGATGAGTTGCAATGAGTAGACAAAAGGATCATCAGAGGCCATGCTAGAGCCAAATTTGTGTGTGTGCACACATACTGCAGACATGAATGAACTGAACTCCACCAAGAGAGTTTCGGCCCAAAGCCCACTTCCCCAAGGCAAGGGGAAGTGCAAAGACATTTCTGCGGTCATCCATCCCAAGGTGGATAAGCCAACAGGCTGTCAAGTTACAGCACAACTGCCCTTGCTGATCAGCCAGCCTCTGCATACTGAGTCTCATCTTCGTTAATGAAAGTAAAGATCATCCTGGCCCTGCTATGCAGCTGTGCTTATTCAGGGGTCCAGGACTGTTCACACATGTATTGAAATCTCCGCATGTCTATTGTGGCCATCAGGCTCTTGGAACTATGCATTCGTCTCATGAACCTGACTAATTTCATACCTCTGGGGGTCTGGTGGCTTTTACAAAGCAGGCGCATTGAACAGGATGTCAAGAAGAACTGTAGGAGCCTAATGGCACTGTTTTTCCTGGTCCCATCAGTGCCTCTCAACCACGCAGCTCACAGTTTCTCCTGGCTGTGAGATTACCCAATTCATTGGTTTGGTGGCTCACAGTGCCCCAGTCCCAGGTCTGGCAGTTTTTCACCCTGTTCCTTCACCAGCAAGGCACTCATGACCCCTCTCCCTCTTTA